TTTTGAATATTAAGGATTATTTATTAAGACCAATATTTATATTAGTCTTCTATCTATATGACTACTTATAAAAACTATAAATGTTAGTAGTTAGAAGAAGCATGAAATAAAAAATAAGATTTATAGTGGATTTAAATTGATTTTTTTATTATTAAAAAATTTAAAAATTAGGAAAATTTAGCCTTAAATGAATATTAGCTTTATAGAAATATCATAAAAAATTTCAAAATTTATAGAGAAAATAAAATTTTTAGAGCAATTTTTAAGATCTTAATAAAAATGAGTTTTACCACTTTGGGAGCCTTTATGAAGAAATGGATCAAGATTTGAAGGCCACACAAGGTTTATAGGCTAATTGGGTATTTTTGAATATTATGGTGTGGTAAAAAATTTAAAAATATTGGTCCTTCTAATAGAAAATAGGAGGACCAACAGCTAATGTAGTACTTGTAGAAAGGAGAGTGTACAAGTCTCATATGGGTTGTAGCACCTTGAAGGTAGTTAGGAGGATAAGACTAAGGCCTTGTGGCATCTCTTAGACACCCTTACATACTACATGTGAGCCTTGGTGAGGCTCAAACCCTTGATCTATAAACAAGTTATCCTTAACATAAAATATTTTTACTTCACTTTTTAATTATTTACTTTCTATCTTTAAGACTTCATAACTTATTCATAATAATTCAGATTTATATGTTTCTTATATCATTGGAAAGATAATAAAATTATCTATCTAAAAATATTCTTTTTTATTTTTTATTAGATGAAAATACAGTAAAAAAACTGTGACTTATTTTTGGATGTTGTAATTACTTGATTTCATTTCTTTTACTTGTATATATGGTTTTAGTTTAATTTAGTATCGGATCTATATTGCTGCCAAAGAGGATTGGAAGAGATTGCCATTGGTTGTGTCAATATTTTATTATTGTTAGCTCATTAATGTGAATAAAGAATATCCATATATAGATTTGTGTGTTGTCTTGAGTACTCTAGTCTGCAATCCAATGAATGTCACTCCATCAGCATAATAAGTTAGGTCCATTATTTTGATTTATAATCTATCATCGCAACTTCTTCATGGTTAAATTTATCAAGTTGGTAGGTATAGTTGATTAGATCCAGTCTGCCTTATTGGATGTTTATTGGAATTATAGTGTATGCATTGAAGCTTCCATATTCTGTGAGATCAATAGTTCCAATGAATTCAAAGAAGACCTTATCAGTATCGAGGTGACTTGCTCATAAGACATTCCATTGGTAGAAGAGAGGAGGGGATATTCTCAATGCTTGCCAGAATCAAGGATGAATTAATGGAAAGTCATAGCAAATTGGTCCTTTGAGCACTATATTGTAAACAAAATATCTTAGTTCTTAAACTTGAATTGTTTACTAAGAGTTTGGATTCTGTTCTATGCACTAGTGAATTAGATCTCAAAGTATCTACTACCAAGTATGGTCATTAAAGAGTATGAGGGATGCAGGTTGCGAGTAGCCCATTTATGAAGGAAGTGAAATTTCGGATGTTTGTACATATATCCTATGAGGGTATATTTTTCTTCATGTGATATCTGGGCTTCCATCTATTAGAAAGTACTCTGACTAAGATTTACTCTAACTGTGGTATATTTGGATTGTATTTATAGCAATAGCATGTCTGGTGATGCAAAGATTTTTGTAATTTCTACCATTGCAGAGTCAATTCTATACGCTTAGAGGAGAGTTTTTGCATTCAATTTCATGTGTGTTACTAATCGCTCTAGTTCATTGTCTATAAAATACTGATATATTAGATCTAATTGGAGATTTCTTTGTAAAACCTCTTCTATAATGTTCCTCTTCACCTAAATATAGTCTTAGAATTATTTCAGTGTGTGATGAACAAGTTCTTTGATTTTCATTCCCAATATTGTAACTTGGTTGGTGTTGGCATTGTGGTCATTTGGTAGGTATCCTATGTACTGGATGTGGATTATAATTGTAGTAGTAGTGTACTGGGTGGAGTCATGGTGAAGCTCCAGCATATTCTTTCTATCTCTTTTAATACTTAAAATATTGTGTGGATCCCTTATTAAGGCCTTCAGTGGTTTTGGTATTGATAGTGGCATTGTATCTTGCTCTTGTTTAAGTAGAGTCTAGTTGGATTCTCCTTCATCTGGAAAATAGAGAAGTTGGAGCTCAAAGCTCTCCTTGGATCTTCTCTCCTTTGAGTTGAGACTAACAAAACTATCACAACTTTCTTGTATTTCAAGTAGGGTGTCTAAGGATGGAATACTTACTTGTAAATTTGGTGTTGTTATCATTAGAGGTGGATCCTGTTCATGTATCTTTTGTTGTCCTCTCCCTATACCAATCATGATCTTCAATTGTACCTTGCTTCTTAATACATATGCTAGTTCTTTTTGGATAGTATTAATGCCTTCCTTCTGGCAGCTACTTTCTCCTCGTTTCTCCATGGCTCTCGGTGTATTAGTGTTCAACTACTCTAAGTTCTATTGTTTTGGAAACTAAGATTTCTAAAACGTTCTAATTCTATCGGTTACCTTACTTGTAAATTAATTGGCTAGGTCAAAAAATCTGGATCTATAATATAAGTGTCCAATCTATCTACAATCTATTGCTTCATAATCTCCTAGAGTATTGTAAAGCTTCTCCAATTGTAGAAGTTGAATGTGCTCACTAAAACGTCAAAAATCACTCATTTCGATAATATTGGATCTCTAGGGTGCGGCTCTAGATTTCATGGAGCCCTTGCTCTTGCTCCTCTCTCTTGTCTCTTATTAGAGCTATTTGAGAACTCAACTATTGCAAGTAATGTAGAATGTAAGTTTTATGGTTAGTTATTTATTTTTTAAAATTACATTCAAAGCATCTTTTTCATTGTTATTTATTTTGCTATTCAAGCAATTTTTATTAATAATACTAACAAACATGCTTCTTTGAAGGTATTAGTGATTTTGTAAGTAGTTTTATAATTATAAGAATGAAGCTTCTTATCATTGTCTTAAGGATTAAACCATGGAGCAAGACTAATTGAAATAAGAGTTGAGGGTTGTTGATAGTCATTTTCATAAATCTTAAAAAAAAAATGGTAGAAAGACATTTGTGTAGGAACCAAACATTATAGTCCAACAACATACTACTAGACATAATAAAAAGAAGAGGATGATGTTATTTCTAATGGTATTTCATTGACAGGTTTTATGGTATAAATCTTTTTAATATTATTTAATGTGCAACCAATTTTATTTTTATTTCTATTTTTTTATTCATGTCTAAAACTTAAAATAGAACTACAAAGACAAAGATAATCATATCCAAGTGCACATGATGAAATAGATACTTACAAGCATAGGTAAGATATCTAATATGTGATATTTAAATAATTAGGTTTTTTTATTAAATATTATATATATATATATATATATATATATATATATTATATTATATATTATATATCATTATAATTTAGACCATCCAATACAATAACTTTAGAACAAAATGAAATGAAGGTGGGATATAGCAATGTTGTAAGCTATCTTTTTAGAAAAAGATAGTAAAAGAATTCAAGTAGTTATAATTTTTAAATCAACACATATCTACCTTTTATTGTAAAATCTTAGAAACCAATGTCAAATATAAATCTAAGTAAAAAAATATATATTTTAAAGAAAAAAAGGTCAAAAGGATAAAAATCAATAATTAAATAAGAATATGATATAATAACTAAAATATTTTTGCCATGGTATGAAAAGACTTAAAAGCCACAAAGGAAAAAAGTCTTAAAAAAAGAATTGAAAAGAACATGAATTAGATCAATCTTGTTTATATTAATTCTATTTGGAGATTTATATGTTAATATAATATTTTTTTTATCTTAAATAAATTTCTGAATATAAATATATTTTTTATTATTTTTATTTTTATTTAAAATTAAATTTTAAAAATATTATTTTAGGATTTTTAATCCATACTTCATATAACAACTTAGTTAAAGCTTATAGAATATTAATGTGTTTATTCTAGGATTGTACAACAACACAACTTTAGAAAAAAAATTAAACACTTAGAAAGTGGTAGAAACCGTTTGATAAGAAATATAATGTCACTCTTTGATATTTATTTTTTTACATTACAATGTTCTATGTTACAATGGATTTTAGTTATATGTAAATAATTAACACACATAAGACTAAAGAAATGTTTCAAATTATTTATACTAACTCTATTTAGATATATAAATATTTATATAAATCTATTTTTTATACTAAACAAAAGAAGATAGTTATCTAAAAAAAGATAAGTTGACTAAGATTTTGCCTTTTGTAATAAATATATACATAATATTAAAAAAATGCAAATAAACATTCTTCTTCTGACGTACATGGTATTTTTTAAAATTTTATCATAAATTTTGGGATTATGTAATTTTTTTCTAAATTATTTCAAAAAGATAAATGTAAACATCTATCAACAGTTAACTTTATCCTTGTAGACACATGCTGAATTGGTTATTTATGACAATTATTCAGGTTAATGGTATGCATCTGCAAGTTGAATGAATGGCTTTGATATTGGATTATCTACAATGGACAAATACCTACGTGAACATCACGTAATACCCAAAGTGCCAGAAGAGTCTTTGCATACATACTGAGCATACACAATATGAAGTTGCAAGTAGTTGAGTTCTGCATCTTCATGTTAATTTTATTAATTTACTTAATTTCTGTTTGTTTGTTTGTTTTACTCAAAGATAATTCCCTGAACGATTCATTAGTAGGTCAGGACAATTGTCAGATTCAATCTTCAAAAGAGAAGGTTTATAAGAATTGCAAAGGTTTTAAGGTGATTCTACAATAGGAAGATGGCAGCTAAAAGAGAATCGAACTTACAATCTAATGCAATTAGTTTGTCCAACTTTGAGGGATAGAATAGTGGAGATGGAATAAGTAAGAACTTCCATCAGTACCAAGAGTACCCAGATAGAGAAATAGAAATCGAATGAATAAATGACTAAGTGAGATAATTAACGTGATACATGTCCTACACCATAATGGATTGTTCCTCCACAGGTGGTGATAAAGCTATCTTGATCCTCTCTTTCTCACAGAATTAATGAACCTCAAGCAATAGTTGTAGCCCCATGTCACACCCCCAGTGCATTTAGAAGTCAACGTAACAATCGATTTATGATTGAGATACAAGCTACATCCTCCAGTGAAGATCTGTTATGTATTCATGGGAATAGAGCGCATTCATGTTATCACGTGTCCATAAGCTTTCTCGAAATACTTCGAATCTATCTAGAGTCGAGATTTTAATTTTACAGTGAATGGATGGATTTGATCTCATCAATTGCTTGCCTTGCATACAAGCTGGGTTCATCATACAAAACAGCTGGATTATCAAGCCTGCTTGACAAGCTCTTGTCTCCAAGAAAAGCTCGGAATGAATCTGCAACACTGTTTGACAAAGATTTGAGGTCATATCCTCCCTCGAGGAAAAAAACACACCGGCCTCCACAAAGACTTTGCGCCAAACTCTTGATATCAGATGCAAGTCGATAATACGTTCCCGTTGTGAACTGCATCCCTGCCAAGGGATCTTGGACGTGTGCATCAAACCTGTACAGTAGAAAAAAAAATATATGAAGGCTTCGATTGTCAAAGATACTCAAACTTACTAATTCCAGTCTGAATGTCCTCAAAAACAACAACCTAAACCGCACCTTTTTCATTCGATTGTAATTTCTACTCAAAGTAATCATATCCAGAACTGAAAACCTATCGAGATATGTAGTTAGCAGGCAGAGCCACTTCTCGACAGGCTTCAAACTCTCTTAAAGAGTCCCTGATTGACTCTCTTAGATATCAGCGTGATTAATTATGACAATCTACTACACGTCAATATCTGGCATAGAAGTATCAAATGATTGACTGTTGACAATGACTCGTGACCTTCAGATCCAACAAGAAAAGCGAAAGGGGCGTTCTTCAGCAACTCGGAAGTGAAAATAAATTCATCAGAAATTTAATCTTCAATAAAGGGGAAGAAACACAAACAAACAAACAAACAAACAAACAAACAAACAGATGAAAGAACATAGGCGCAGAACATTCCCCAAATACATGCAGATGATATCAGCTGGTATCTACAAAAACAAAATGTAAAGATGGAATATACCCAGCAGACACCAGAATGATATCAGGTTTGAAACGTTGAGCAGCAGGCGCAATTACTTCTTCAAATACACGTGCCATTGTGTCATCTCCCGAACCCCCTGGCAAAGGCAGATTAAGAGTTGCCCCTTCTCCAGAGCCAGCACCAACTTCACTCATCTTCCCAGTCCCTGGATAACTACCATCCTGATCATGAAGCAGAATGTTAATATAATCTGTCATCCTACTCAAGCAAATAAGCTAGGAGTGACCTGTTGCACTGAACTTAAATCTATTATGAGCTCAGTTGAGGTGTTATTTAAGTTTTAGAATTATCAGTTTGTAAAACTTAGGGCTCAGGAAAGAGGCGGAAGCCCAATTAAGGCTAAGAAGCGAATACGGATTAGTGACTTTGAAGACCAAGTTATGCTGGTGCAAATCCCTAACTAGAACTCATTTGAAAAGAGGCGGCATAAGAGCTCGAACAACCTGGTGTGTGGAGAGGAAATATATGTCGGAGTCGTCGTAGAAGGCGTCATTAGTCCCATTGCCATGATGAACATCATAATCAATAATGAAAACACGCTGCAACCCGTGTGCTTGTTGTGCATAGCGAGCAGCCACGGCAATATTCCCAAACACACAGAAGCCCATCGGCCCCGCAGGAACTGCATGATGACCTGGAGGTCGCACAAGAGCGAAACCGACGGGAGGATTCTGGGTCTCCTTTGATGCTGCCACCTGAAAGAAAGAGGTAGGTTTGGTGTCATACACATGAAGCTCAAGGAAGGAAATCTCATTTGTAACTTATTTTATTATAACGATTTCTATTAGGTTAAACGATGCAATCGAAGTGCTGCAAATAATCATCGGACCGCTGTAGGATAAAAGTGCTATCCTCCAAACAGTTGCAATGCTTAAGAAAAGAACTGCTGTAACATTAAGTCAGCACATCACGAATTCCGGTGCAATTAAGCTAGAGCAACACACCACAGAATCCACCAGCGCTAAGCTTGCACCTGCCGCCAGCATAGAATCATGATAAGTCTGCGGGAAAGTCACTTGCATATATCAGTCAATAGTCGACTAGAAGTTTTTGATCTGAAAAACTTACACCCCATGACCAAAGCTACTCAATGAAGTTAAATGTCCTGCCACTAAAGACATTTGTTGTATTATGTTAAGAATTCTAGACCTCAGTTTGACAAGATACACAAGAAGGCAGTCAAAGAAGACAAACGAATTACTCAAGACTCGTAAAACAGACTCAATCGAGAAGATGAATCACACAATCATAGGTCCTTCAACCAGAAATCTTATCCAGATCTAAAGAATTTCCACTTCATTAAGATTGTAAAAGCTACAAAAACATATCACAAATACAAACAATGCAGTTCTTCCTTATGCATTCATTGCATTGCTGTGGAATCTAGAACCCTTCACAACTTTGAAGCCGTAATGATTCTTAATTTCACAAAAAAAGAAAATTGTAACCATAAAGTTATTGAGATGCTTTTGAAACGTACAGACGATGTCGCGTACGTAGGTCCTGAGTTATCTAGAAATATAAGGCCTTCGTCTTCTGCCTTTTGCATTGCCTGTCACCACAGTTACCATCGACTTCAGATGAGAACAACGAGGCTGATGATAGTCGTACAAGGCTACATACATAAGCTTCCATACACGATTAGCGCCTCGTACTACAGTAGAGGCAGTCTACTTCGTGCATTTGACCATTGCGGCACAACGTCAGGAAAAGAAGATAGTAATCATCAGATAAAGGGCTCACCCTTTCCAGTCCCTTAACATAACCCAGAGAGTGAACCGCAGCTACATCCTCCTGTGATGCTGCTTTGAAATTCTGAATCCTTAAAACCTCGTTGCCACGAAACTGCAGGTTCGTTCCTTCATCCTTTTCAGTCAGCAAGGTTCGTACATACGTGCTATTCGCTACTAGAAACTCGTGGTGATAGCCATACCATAAAATCTTGAAATGAGGAAGAAAAAGACAGTAAGCATATATAACACTTCTCAGCTTACCTCACCTCAGGTGTCAGTTTCCCCCTTTCCAGAGCTTCAAGAATGGAAGGCACTCTTTCGTTAGATTCGGGATGCCCTTCCTGTGATGGTCATCACAAAAGACCTATAAATAACTCTTCGAGAAGGTGAAATCTGATTTATGCCATGACTATGATATCGCTTTATGAAGTTTCAGTGCAAGATGTGTTCATAAACAGAGTGATCATTGCTTCTTGTTTCAAATAACCACGCAGCCAGTGTCCTTCAAATGCCAACTCGCTTCATGGATGGAAGACCTCCAAGTTAAAAGTTTTGCCCTTGCAACCGTAGGATAAAAACCTCTAATCTGCTTTCGCCTTATAAGACATAAATACATGAGCTCGGACAATATAGAACATGTAGACAGATGGTTAAGAGACTGCTCATTCTCAAATCAAGTTCTAGATAACATTTGAAAAACATTCTCATAATTTTTTTAAAAAAAGTAATAAGCTTACAATTTTTTCCAGAATGAGAGAAAGAAACAGTGTTAACCTGGTAATGACCCAAGGCCGGTGCAGCAGCAAAAATTACTCGAGCCTCAACAAGCTGAGGAATAGGTACAAGGAGCTCTCGGGGCTGCCTGCTAATAGATGTGGAAGCTTGACTGTCCGCAACGCAGGTAATTGCTGATGGACGCTCACTTCGAAAAAATTGACGTGGAAATTCTACCTCATGCACGCCATTTGAACCGAATTCTTTTTCTTTGCCATATACACCACGCGCTGCAGAACTCCCAACAAATTGTTCAGAAAAGGAATGCATTGTTACATTTGTCAAACATTGAATCCAAACACTGAAACGAAATCATCATCGTCGCTTGATAACCAGGAATTCAGGCGCACCAAGCATTGTAAAGCAAACCCCGATAGAAATTCATTAGTTCACCTTCAATCGTCGAAAGCTATACATTACTACCAAAGAAGTCAAATAATATCGTCATCACAAATATTCATACTGAAGAGGTTGCTCGGAAACGCTATTTCTGTAGCTGAAACCACGACTAGCACAAGTTTCCACGCCAATCGACCCTAATTCAAGAAACTGTAGAAACAGAATAATTGACATCAACGTCTAGTGTCTTCAATAGAACCTAATTTACAATTGAAAACGTAAGGAACATGAAGGAACCAAACTGAGAAGAAGAAGAAGAAGATGAAGAAGAAGAGGGAGAACCAATCCCAGACTCAAAACGCGAGGACAGACAATGAGTTCATAGAATTCGAGATAACTTAGAAATTAGAACAGAAATTGAAGTTCTCGCGTATGTCACCTGAGATCCTGTTTCTGCCGAAAGATACAACACGGTAGAAGCAAGAATCCCGTGCAAGTACCGACGCCGAGGACGCCATGGCCATGGCTGCCGCTGCTCTTTCCCGCATGTTCAAATCGACAACACTCACCAGCGTGCGGTCAAGTATTCCCTTCTGCGAGAAGACGACAACGACGACGACGACGACGGAACGCTCCCTCTCCTTCGTCAACGAACCCCTGGTTCTCGTCAACAAGTCCTCGATTTTCGTCTCAGTTATCGTCAACGATACGCTGGAACTGGTACAGTCTACTGATGTGCTAACATATTTAGGAATAGACTATGGAATGAAGAATAAGCTGTAGAGAATCTTCTCATGAAGGAGAAAATTATGTGTGAATTTTATTTTGGGAGAATTGTGTTGTCTTTGAAGAGGAGGTAGTTCTCAAAAGATAGCTGTGGCTTGAACGGTACAAATCATGCTTCACTTCGGGACATGACAAACCCAGGGAAAGATCAGTTTGAATAGGTTGTGAACGAGGGAAAAGTCCCTGGGCTTCTCAGTGGAAAATTTTGCAGAAATGACCACCGACAGGGAGGCTGAAAACGATGACGGTTGCAAAGAGTCTGGCCCTGCATTGCATGGTATCAAGTAATGATATCTCAAGCTCTGCGACGACAAAACGGCGGACCCATTGCGTAGAGGAGCCCACTCACACTGCCATGTTCCAGTGAACACCCTGCTTCGCTCATGTTTATCAATAGGTCGACGAATTGTGTCTCGTGGAGGTGCCTACGCCACGACTGTGACTGTGTGTGTGCACAAAAGACCAACAACAAGACACAGATTATCCTTTAAGCAACGTCTACCGCCATCTACGCTGCGAAGTGGGCAGCATATCATTGCCATCCCGCACATCCCGTCGCCCGCTTATTGCACCGGATCCACGCAAAGTTGCGATCAGGGCATCGAGCACCGTCCTGCCGACGCAAGAGAATGGAATCCGTGCGATCAGGTGTATGCAGTTGGCTCGATCTATAACAATCTTGTGAAGATTAACTTGTTGTCCTAGTGTGGTCGAAATCAGATCGCCGTGCGCTGCGCGAATCAGGTACTCGGCAACATTGTGATTGCCCAATCTGCAGTATCTGACCCATGTTGGCGTACTTTGCAAGCACAAAACTATGTCTTCCTTCAGCAGATATGCATTGCCAAGTATGTTTGCATTACCATGTGATATAACCCAGTTGGATGTATTAGTAGAATACAATCCTTAAATAATTCTTCCAATGCTATTTATTGTGTTGGAAGTTTGGTAGGGTTGTGCGAGAGTATCCAAAGGGGTGGAGTGTATTGATTGATAGTTATTAAGGTTCCGCGTACTAAGTTGAGAGTTGTTGGGCTGCAAAGACACATAAATCATTTGGCGGTTAACATCAATGCTTCATCAATGTGTAAAATGTAATATCTTGTCCTTAAAATCTGGTTATAAAATTGACTTGAAAGTTAAATAAAAGGACTGAGAGAACATTAGAGAATGCATAAGAGTGGACTTTAGTGTTGGCTTGATGGCATAAGTCGACAATTGCATGAGGAATTGGTGGTATTTAATATCCACATAACAACATCTAGACTTCCTTCCAATTGTTATAATAATGTTTTAGTTTGACTAATTATTATATATTTAATTAAAATTTATTATTTTGTTTCTATTATAAATGATATTTTTTCTTTTGGGATTAGAAATAAAACTTATGTGTCTACAATAACTAAGAACAAATAAATCAATGTTTAGAAATACATAAGGAATGTAATTTTTTATAGTAAAATAGTACATAGGATGTGGATTTTTTAATATTTTATACATGTATTAAAGTTTAAAAGTCAAAGCTTTAAATGATCTAAATGAGATTTTATAACTATACACTTCATAAGAAAAATTATGTAATTTTTTCATTAATAGTTAAGATATATTCTTCCACATTTTTTAAACAATATATTAAGATTTTATCAATGATAAAATAGTAATTATAAGTTTTTTCTCAATTAAAAATTATATACTATTTTTATTTCAATAATAGATTAGTAATAATAGACATCATTAACTTTTAATAAATTCCTAAAATAGAATAAAGTGTATCTTGAATGTCAAACTTTGTCATATTTATAGCTTATATTTAATTTTTTAATTTTATAACTATTATTATTTTAAATATATATTAATTTAATATTAATTTAATTTAACTGTATATTAGCTATAATTATTATATTAAATAAATAAATTATATTTTTCATAGTTTAACATATGTAATTTTTTTAATGTAAGTCCTAAAATTGTGAATTTAATTTTAATAGAATTTTTTATCAAATGTGGTACAAAGTTTCTAAATTAAAGATAAAAACTTCTTTTATGATATTTCTAAATTTAAATATATTTTAAAAAGTTAAGAGTCTCTATAATCTTGTTTAATATTTTTTTAAATTACTTAAAGTAAATTCCATTTATTTTTCTTTTTTTCCATTACTTATATGTTATGAGAAATAATTTTATTTTCTAATTTTTAAATATTATATAATTATTGAAGTTTGATCTAATTATAAGCTTTTTAAAAAATAATAAATTAATATTATTTTATAATAAAATAAAACCATAATATTTTAAATTTTTAATTTGTAAAATTATTAAAGTTATATTATAATCATATATTTAATGCTACCTGTGAACATCTTAGAAATAAACATGTATATTTAAATTTAAAGTATGTACATATTTTAAAAAGAAAAAATGATAAAAAATTGTTATAAGTTTTTTAATCAATATTGTGTATATTTATATTTATTTTAAAAAATATCACAAAATAAGAAACACATATAAAAAATCAGTTAAGTTTAATATTAGAGACACAAGAACAACAGTAGATAATCAAGTGTCATTAAGAAAAAATATGTGTTTAATTAATAAGAAACAAGATTAAGAACTATACAACAGTTAGATTGCTTTAAAATTTATAATGGGATAATTAAGGTGTCTGTTTATTTATTTATTTATATGTTAGCAACCAGTTGAAGATCCTAGGAATCACAAAATGGTTTAGAAGTATAATAAATCTTTCATAGAAAATATTAGGATACAAGAAAACATTTTTAAAATACCAGAAGCTTGTAAATGACTAATATATGTATTTAAAGCATCTATTGATTTTAATAGAAAACTATTAAAAATATCCAAAGATTTCTGAGTAGTTTTAGAAGGTTTTGATAGGTAGTTCTAACTCTACTTAGATTATGTATATGACATTAAATTTTCTTACAGCAATAAAGTCTAAAAAATCTTTTTCTTTTTCTTTTTTCTTTTTCTTTGCATTTAAAATATTAAGGGTGTTTTTAGATAATTCTAATAATATATGTGTATATGTGTATATATATATTATTTAATAAATATATAGTTTTATCTATCTAAAAATAAGTGACTTAATCACTTCAAATCAATAAATTTATTGGAATAATTTATGTTTAAGAGAGCCCTTGTATTCATCTTTTAAAAAATAATATTAAAATTACCATATTTACATCTACAAATTTATAATAGAATAACCAAAGCTTAAACATCAGTTTAAAGATTTTTATATCAAAATTGCTAGTAGGCAAGATTGTAGTTAATATTTTGAAGGTGTTACTTTAATTTAAAAATGTCTTACAATTTGGGCCCTTGTTTCCTAAATCTTCAAATTTTTAATAAACTTCACAATAATATTCTTGTTAACTAGTATATGTAAAAGCAAAATCAAAATTCTTTTAGATGTGTAAATGCATCTCTTACCTTCAATTAATGATTTTAAAAAAAATTAAGAAATAGTTTTTTTGATACAATTCTAAAGATAGTCATCATTTTCTTCTCTTGGTTCGTTCTAACTTATACATGTATTAATTAATTTAATAATTATTTTGTAAAAATTCACAATCTTGATAAAAGTTGTGACCATCACCAAGATTGGTCCAATTGTAATTATTTGCTTCAAGACTTTACACACCACCTTGAAGGTAATAAAAATGCATTTAAGAACACGAAATAGACTAATTAGTATGTGATATTTAAAACCAAAAATTGTTGATAACAACCCATGTTGTTGTCACACAATCTCATTCAAAAGACATGGCAGGTGGCAGACAAATAAAGTTCCATTTTATGTGGTGCACACAAGAGAATAAAAAAAGGAAAAGGAAAGAGCATCTCTAAAATACACAACAGGCAAGCTGGCCAAGTATGATTCTGAGGCAGGGGTCTTCAAACTCTGGACCACATCTGACGTGGCAGAAGTGACGTGTCCATATGTTGTTTCAACCACCTGTGTGTCACTACTGGCTACACACAGACTTAATAATAATAATAAATAATAAAAACAAAAACTGACTCGAGCAGAGAACTGTAGATGAAAAAAGTGCCAAAAAACTGTTGGAAGATGGTTGAGGCCTTTAAATACAGTGTTGAATACATGAAAAGGTGGTTTTAGTAGCAGAGTACAAGAACCATCCCCCTCCCCCCCCCCAAAAAAAAAACTTTTTAGAGCTTCCACTAAATGATGGCCCTGGATCCCCCTTCAAGGCTGGCTGGCAATTGAAGCCCAATTGTAGTCTGTAAGTGGGCATCATCAATTGTGGGCTCCCTTTTCCTTGTACCCCACTTGGCTTTTTCCAAAGCATTGTCCACAAGGGACATAACTAACTTAGTGTGGGTGTTTTTTTCCAGAAGGATTGATCATGAACTCACAGGCTGCAGCATTCATTGTGTTGCACACTTTTCCATGGTTTTAATGGATTCATCTATGTGGAGGGTGGGGTGAAGTGAAATCTGTGCTTTGCCCTAGAAAAAGTGTAGACTCCGGCTGTAGTGAAAGTATAAGTAAAAATCCAACTTTGATTGTGATTAAGAAAACTAAGTGGGCAACCAGCTGGTGTGCAGTCTCAATGCTTGGCCATGACTTTGTTATCGGCATAGACTTATATTCTCACTTGATGAAGTGGTGAAGTGTGGTGGGTGTTTTCATTCTCTGGGACTTTATTCATTCATATATTTATTTTGCTCAGTGGAGGAGACATTAAGTAGTGATTTGTCCATGAATCTCTTATACAAAATAGCTCAAAGGATAAACCAACAAGATAAATTGGAGGGGACAAAAACCATCTCTAATTGGCTAAATATCTCATTGTTTTCATAAAAAGTGAAGCAATAATTCAACTTTTGATCAAAATCATAAATTAAAATTTCCATATTGTTGCTGCAGATTGTTGAGAATAGCACTACATTATCACCAGGGGTGGAGCTTGGAAGCTCCTAA